ATTTCAGCGTGATAAACATGATAATCAGAACCAAAAACAGATGTTTTTTAGCAGGTCCAAACTGTAATTGCGCAAGCTCTATTCTGGAAAAGGGGGCGGGGAGCAGCAGCTCATTTGTATTTAAAGAGACAGGCCCAAAAAACAGAGTGTTTCTGCTTCCACTCAAAATAGGCATTTTCAAAATGATATAATAAATGATCTGTGGAGTATTTTGAGCTGAAATTTCACAGACACATTCTGGGGACACCAGAGACTTATATTACATATTGTAAAAAGGGGCATAATATGTCTCCTTTAAGTAAATGTAATATCTTTTACATTATTAGTAATTTAAAGATGAAAACTTACTGGACTTGATTATACATACATGTTTTAGTAAAATCATTGTTTAAATGGGAGTATCAAAAATGATACCACATTTATTTGTTCATCTCTAAATCATCATTGTATTGCAGCATTGCACAACATGTGTTTTGCTCCCACAATAAAACCTACAGAGCTTTGTCGGTGCCGATGTGCGCTGACATGTAACACCATTGCGCTATGGGCATCCCAAGTTCGAATCCCGGCTCGAGGACCTTTCCCAATCCCACCCCTCTCTCTCTCCCACTTCACTTCTTGTCTACTCTACACTGTGCTGTTGTAATAAAAGGCAAAATTCCGAAAATTAAACGTACTTACTTTCTGGCCATATAAATATCAGCAACTGTACCAAATGGCATATTTTTGCTTGGTTTTGGCCTCTAATTACAATTAAGATGGGTTAATATATTGTCACCCATAGTTTTTTTTTTTTTTGTAAATAAAAAAAAAATTTGAAAATGAGTAGCTTTATCATTAGAGCAGTGGCCCCTTAAATATTGTCTTTGACAATGGGGGCCTTGGAGTAAAGGTTGAGAGCCGCTGCTACGTACATGTGATAATTGTTTCAGTTGTTATTTGTGTGCTGGGCAAAACACTCACAGTTCCCCAGGCAATCTGGGCTCCCAAGTCTCTGAAGTAGAAGGTTGCAGTGGTTCCCACAGGGAGCTCCTGAAGGATTTCCTCATCTCTTAAGGGTTTTCCTTCTGAAATCAACAATATAACACAACGATTAATGTTCTCTTCACATATATAGTGGCTTAAAAAAAGGATATGGACACCAACTAATTTCACTTAGTCTGTGTTATAAAACAGAAGAATGCAACAGGGTAATCCAAACAACAGGTTTTGGCTGATACACATGGAGAGCGGGTGAGTATATGGTCAATAAAGCAATGCAGAGGTATTTCAGTGAATAACAGTCTTATCTTTGCAGGTTTGGATGAGGTGGTGTTGGTGAACCGGATCTGGAGATTGGATGCAGAGGATCATGCAGAGGTTAGTTATATTAGTACGTCAACTTTTCAACTGTTTTGAAATCAAATAAATAAACAGCGGTACAGTGCAATCACTTGCTTCAATGTTATGTTGTAAATAAACAACATTAACATATTACTCGTTACTAAGTGTAAAGCTATACTCACTTGGGTCAAGGCATAAAGACTGTCTGGCAGGATACCAGTGTGGATCTGTGAAAATTGAAACCTGACATGTAAGACTTTGCTAAAACCATTATTTCTATGTCATCAACGTATCATCTTCCTTGCAGAAAGCTATTTAAAGAAAGGCATTGCAGTTTCATAGCGTCTTTAGCACTGGGCAGAACTTACTTGATTTGTGGAACAAAGACTTAATGTCCAAAATAGTGGCTGTTGGCTCTACCTGCAGAAGGATAGCCAGCTGCTAAATATCCACATTCTGCTTTGCAATTATAATACATAAATATGTAAATACAAAATATACATATGCAATATATACAGTGTTACTCTTTGAGCTTTTCCACCTCATGCAGTCATAAATCAGGTTTACTCTATTCTCAACATGCATGTCTAAGCAATGGATCTCACATAGGAATTCCTGGAAGCTCAGCGTTGATTCTCATGTTCCAAAAGCAACATGACTAATGCAGAACCCGCCTGATAGTGACCGCTTTATTATTACAAAGTTACAGCATGTGCACTAGTTGTTCTCGCATTACTGTTAGCTATCTGTCATCTATAACAGCTGATGATTACAGATGATTTCTTTACTTCTCTGTATTATGTTAATAGCCTGGAAGTGTAAACACAGTGATTAAATATACTATTTTAATATCATAACAACATCTAGAGTCATGGGGGGGGGGGGCTAAAACCAGCATAAGCTGTTGACTTATTTTAGCTGGTCTCCAAGCTGGTGTTCAGCTGGTTGGTCCTAACCTGCTAAGACCCACTTGATCAGCTAAAGAAACAGTTAAAACCCCAGTAAAACCAGCCTGCAAACCAGCTGTGAACAGGCTGGAAGACTAGCTAAAACCAGCCAACCAGGCTGGTTTCACCTGTTTTTTTCAGCAGGAACACTATTCACAAGTAATGGTTTGTCATTTGTATGGTATTTAAGTTTGTAAAACACATTTAAAAGCACATACCTTATCCAGAAGCAGTAGTTTTTCCCGGGTTTTGATGTCTAGTATCTCCACCTCAAAGTAAACAATTCGTTTCGCTTTTTGGGGGGGTTTTGGTCTGGGTTTGGAGGGTGCCGGTGCTGCTGCGCTTTCACTCTTAGCCCCTTTTGCCTCTAAAGCTAATGCATCCATGATACTTCTTCCAACTTATTGCACACTGAATCCTGTGTTTAGTCCGTAGTTCAAAGGTCTTTCTCACACCCCACACATCTCTCCTAAGTCCTCAAGCCTCGGTTCTTAATAATAAATCCAAAATCCAGCTCTCCGTTGAATTCAGTGCAGACGGAGATGAGAAGCGACAGAGAAGGTCGGTGTGAGTGTGTGCAGTGTCACTGAAATATCTCCCACCTCTTAACACCTGAGGGGTGGCCATCACAACCACTCCTCTGAAGACGAAACCTGAGAGTCCCAAGACATAATCCATGGCTTTTAATGAAGCTAAATTTATATGCCTGCTTTGCTGAATACAGCCCCGTGACCTTGTGGGACTCGGACCAATCCAGTTGGCCGTGGCTCTTACCTCCACACCCCGTCTCTTTTTGAATTAGGATAGCGTGCATCTGTACAGCAGCAGTGTGTGTCCGAGGAATATTAATACATCTGCCTTGCAAGCAGAGTCATGCAATGGCTCTGTCAGGACATCTATTTGAGTTTGACCATGGTCACACCAGTGATTGGGCTTGCCTTGGAGTCAATAAATAAGCCACTTCTGAGGTCCCTAGAGGTTCTCCCATTAGGTTTGGGCAGGTTGTTGCCATACAGAAGCCATCTGTGTCTGTCAGCAGTAAGTAGATCAGACAAACATATGATAGGCAAAGTGTCTTAAGTTATCTGGTATATTTACCGTCTTTAGTTTCCATCAGCTGTTCTCAAGCTTTGACGAATGCAAAGGATTGTACAGATAAAGATATTATTATTATTATGAATTATTTTTATTTATTTTTAGTAATCGTATTGTGTGTTTTCGTATTTTTTGTAGTTTTGTATATGTTTATAAAGCTTTTATAGCTATTTTTAAAGCTTTAAATTTTTATTATAGTTATTTTAGTACATAATTTAATTAAAATTATAATGAAATAAAATGTATTTAAATAAAATGAAAAATGTTGCATTGGAACTAGCTTATTTTATTTTATTTCAGGTAACATTTATTTTATATTTGACAATACAGAACAACAGATTATATTTTTGTTTGACAGGTTAATCACATAATTTAAATTTGAATCATGAAAGTGTTTTTTTTTATTTTTATGAAAATATACGGTCCCTTTTTTTAAGGAAAAAAATGCTAATCTAATACTGTCAACACCACAAATACAGCATACCTTATAAAGTAAGTTTTCAGAAATTACAGGGTATCATTGAGAAAAGGTTTATCATTAAGCTAAATAAATAAATAAATAATACTGGAGTGACTCAAAAATATGTAGGCCTACAATATATTAGAAAATGTTCCATGTCTATTCTATTCTATTCTATTCTATTTTATTCTATTTCTCCCAGGAAAAATCAACCCGGTCTCATGAGATAAAGTAACTGTATTACGTGGTGGTATTTTTGTGAATTCATGTTGTGATTCATAAGGAAACATGATTTTTTTTTTTTAAGAAAAATACAAATATGAAGGCCCAAAGACATGAAATGGTTACAAATTGCCATGAGAGTGTGTTGGGAAAAATCAGTGTTCACTGAAGTAGCTTTGATTTGATATAATCCTAAAATGTTTAGTAGAAATGTGTAATGTCAATGTGGAATGCTCAGATGAAATGTCTCAGACAAGTTTAGCGAGAGTGAAGACAGCCTATATTTGTTTGCCTACTTCAACTGCTCCAAATGATCATGGTGTGCTGACCGTGCATGCATGGAATCAAACAAGAGCTCATATTACGTTAGTTAGACTACTACATTTTGATTTGCAGTAATACTGTGTCCTTGTCTAGACATGAGTCTAGATGAGTGTTACACCACTCTTGGTCTGTTTCCACAATTCACAGCTGAACTAAACATTTAAAACATGAGAAATATACATTTTCGAAGCAATGTGTTATTAAGACTCCTTATATAAGTGTATGATTAGTCGAAGTGGCATGTCATGAAAGCTCTTCAATGGTAGATCATTTCATGCTATGTAATCATGGTACCCTGGTATTTTTTGAAATACCTTGCAGTGCTGTTCTCTGTATAGGTACGCTATCATTACTATTCAGTATAGGCTACTGCACTTTTTTGTATAAGGACTGCGAGACTACTGTAAACAACTGCTCAGCTCCAGCTATGTTTGGAATAGCATACTAACATAGCACTCTTACTATTTCTGTAGTATATAGTACAGTGTGTGATACTGTGCACAGTAGGCCTAAATTATTTTTTCTGTCTAGACCTACATATACATACCCAGATGAACTACTGCATTACATTTGCCAAAATAAGCATACAAAAATGCATACGTACTGTATATTGCATCCTAACACACAATGAAATGTGCGCTCATCAAAATACAAAAGCTAGTTTCTTAGGACCAGCACATTGACCATATCTTTAAACCAGCTCATGACCAGCTAAAACCAGCTTAAACAAGCTCAAACCAGCAGCCATGCTTCAAAACATACCTAATTAGCATATGCTGTTTTTTTTTCAACAGGGATGTTACGAGGTGATGGGAGAAATACTAAAATGTGATTAACTTTCCTAGAGATGGGACGTTTGACACTGAGGCTCCGAAGCCTGTTTTACTCTATTGAAGCAGAGTGGTTCGAAAGACTGTGTTGAGGCTTGTATCAAAACTCTGTGGTCACGTGACCAATGATGTTTGAGGCTTCATACGTCACAATGAAACACCTGAAGCGAGGTGACGGATTTGAATCTTTGGCGCAGCTTCATTCATTATAAGGAGACGCGAAATGCTTGGTGTTCCCTCCCTGCTTCATAGTAACAGTAACACTTTCATGTGTGGACAATGATTCTCTGAATGAAGACACAGCTTTTGTGTTGACACTGGAATCAACACAATGTATGGAAGTAATAAATTGAATGAGTCATTTATAGAAAGGAATGCGAAGACCATCTTTCTCTCTGATGTGAGTGAGACAGAGATTAAAACTATTGTTAATAAATGCAAAAATAAAACATCTACTGATTGTTATGACATAGATATGACACTAATTAAAAAAGTAATAAATAGTATTTCAAAACCTCTAATGTACATATGCAATGAATCATTTCAGACTGGAACATTTCCAAATAAAATGAAAATTGCAAAAGTAATACCAATGTATAAATTACTATTAATATTGATAATATAAATGGTGATATAATTACAACAGAACGGGATATGATTACATAGCTAAGCAAATAATAATAATGATAATGACAGGAGCAGATATTAATGTTTATTATAAATATTATTATTGTTATTATAAAACTGTGATTTAACAATATAATAGGATATGGTTATATTTTATATATTACATGATTATTATAAATACTGGGACACATTAGAATGTTTATGATAATGAGGATTATTATAATGTATTATTGTGATTATTGAGACGGACATATTGTATTTGGGTATTTGTATATAACTATTATAATATCACATAAATTATTAGTAACAGACAATGGCAGCAACCATATGGTGTAATATACGGGAATGAATTGGGGGTGGGAGCAAATAAGTTCTACTTCTTTCCACTCCCTTTCGAGCAAGTATTATGTGTAAATATGTGTATGGATATGTGTAACATAATTGTATATGTATGGATACATATATATGTGAGATAAACTGTTCTATTTTTCTATGTATGTGTATTGATATATATATTGCTCGAAATAAACTTAAAACTTAACATGATGTGTGAATAATTTGAAAGTGGCAGTTATAATTGCAGCTGACCACTAGATGTCACTGGTAGGGTCTGACTTTGAGGCTTTGAAGCTTTGAATCTTTTTTTGGTACAATCAGGAAAAAGCCTCAAAAGCTTCACAAGGCTTCATCTGCCCATCTCTAAACTTTCCATTTTCTGTGTGGGTAAGATTTTTTTTTTTGAGTCATTATTTGGCTTGACTGGCAAAATTATTTATACAAAACTGAAAATACGATGTAAAATAATTGTGCCCACTCAACATAAGGTCATGTTGTTAGCATATATGAGTATGAACATGAGTTACCAATAGCATAAACCTACAGTTTTACTTGCTGTTTTTAAAATAAAAGGCACTTTATGGTGTATACTGTACAATATTCAGTTAGTAGTAAGGTAGTGTTCATTACTAGCTTACTACTGCTCATGGGCGGACTTAGTGATTTTTGTTTGAATTCCTTTAAAATGGCACAATTTAAAAGCTGAGAGTCCTGAGACCTTGTTTCATACCAGAAGTAACCTGCTCTGTCTTCTCTGTCGATGTGTTGTCAGTTTCCTCTTTGCTCTGCGATGTATTTTTCACTGCGTGAGAACATGATGTGTGGTGTGAGAGCGGTATTGTTCTCGGGGATAGCAACAGTAACTAAGGAGGGCGGGTCTTTGCGAACATGCAGTGCACACTCCGCGCCGCAGGGGCGCTCGTTCAGTCACATCTGCAGCATCTGTCACTGCAGCCGCAGAGCAAGTCATTTTTCTCGGACTTTCTGCGGACGCTCGGCGTCGTTGATAACTATATTACAGTGCGTTTCGCCGGGAACTCTGATATTAAAGTTTTACATCGATTAAACTTAGAAGAGTCTCGGGAAAATGATCGCATATTGCAGGGACGCGGCAGTGGATGTGCGCGATATGTGAGGATTTTGATAAATAACTTAAAAACAGTTTGATAAATTCCATCCGCGCGCTTCATGTTCGACAGGATAGGAGGAGGAGGATCGTTTAAAATTAGTCAGATCGTTCAATATTTGGAGGATATCGACATATGGAAACAGGTAGTTGAACAACAGCGGGGTTTTAGTCGAGTGCTGTGATGGGTAAAGATTATTACAGGATCCTGGGGCTAGAGAAGGGCGCCTCAGATGAGGAGATCAAGAAAGCCTACAGAAAACAAGCCTTAAGATTTCACCCAGACAAAAACAAATCAGCCGGAGCAGAAGATAAATTCAAAGAGATCGCCGAAGCTTACGATGTCCTGAGCGATGCCAAGAAGAAAGACATCTATGACAGATGTGGAGAGGATGGTAAGAGCTGTCATTGTCCCGCTATAGATAGGTAGAGAGATAGATGATAGACAGATAAATAGATAGATAGACAGACAGATAGATAGATAGATAGATAGATGGACAGCCCTTAAAATGTACTGTGGTGGCACCATAATACACCTTTTAGTACTTTTTGTAAGGATAGATACACACAATGATATGCTATTAATTAAGCTGTGGAAACATTGTTGTGGAAATGAATAAAATTGAAAAGGATACAAGTCACATTGTATTGTTTATTAAAGGTGTAGATTGTAGATATTTCTTTATTATTATTATTATTGTTATTACTATTATTATTATTTAAAAAGAGACATGCCATGTGCCCTGATATGTGTTTCTGCTTTTCGGTGGTACCCTAAAGGCCCCGATATACTCACCGCAAATTTTTTTTATTGTTCTACACTCAAGGGTAAAAAAAAAAA